TATATACAATACCATAGAATTCAACTATAATTTAATCTAAGCTTAGTAACTAAGATGTAATTTAGTACTAAAAAAATATGAAATTTCGAGCAGACTAAGACACCCTTATATCCTTGAAATATTGGTTCAAAAGAAAGAAATGACACAAAGCCCATTAAAATGGCTGAAAAAGCCACTAGGGGGACATTATGAGCTTCCAATTTGTTATTCATGTCATATACAGAAGTAAGTGTATAAAAGGGAGTGTTTCCAAAAATGGAAAGAGGTGAGCAGGGTGCCACTGTGTTTGATTTATTACATGAGCAATATCTTAGCAAATTGAAAATATAAGAGGCTCTTATTTTATATTCTAGTTGGTCAATATTGGTAATTTGAGTTTTTAATTCATAGGAAACTACAGACTTAGTATTTTGACTTCACAAACATCTAATTTGAAGCAGTGCTGCATTCAACATACCACATGACACACAAAAATCAATGTTTATCTGTGTTTTTTAATATTTACTTCTAAATTAAGAAAATGAGTGATATATAATACTAAAATTTCAATTATAATCTACAGTTTGATACCAAAGTTATTGACATAAATTCATGAACTAGTAGTTCAATAAAATTTTGAATGCGAGTCAACAAACAAGATGACATGGCCTTTCACCCATGACCCTTCTTGAAAGGGTTAAGATGTAGTGTCTTCCCAAGATACTTATAAACAAAAAAAAATTCAAATATGAACAACATGTAACAACTGTATAGAACATGTAGAAATATGTATAGTCTGGATCATTTATAGGCTTAATACTAATAATAATACAGTAACCACGTTCATGGACATACAAATCATGTACCATAAGCTAATGTATTCCTTCCTGTTGTGACAGCATGTCGATCAGCACCAACCTCCGTCACTTTCTTTAACCCAACTTCAGCTTTCCTGAGGGAAAATGAATACAAATTTTAACACCATTGTTTGAAGATATATATATATATATCTGTATCAAACTGTTCCAACCAGTATCCACACCTGTCTCCTTTTAACAAAAAATACAATTAAGTTTTTGTATTACTGTAGACTTAAAACATCTAGAAATTATTCTAGATCAATCAATATCTATATCTGTCACTTATCTCAGATAAAAGTCAGCCACCTGCAAAATAACAATTTACAATAAAGTTGTCACATACTTATAATATCTTATTACACTGGCCAACAAGTCATTTTCATCAGATATAACTATAGGCGGGCTAGATAGCTCTTGGGATGCTGATTCCAAATCTGTTTTTGGCTTTTGAGACCAATCAAACTTGAAAGGTTATTGCCTTAATTATAATTTAAGTTGTTGTACATTTGTATTTACATAAGTGTGTACTGTATAACTTTATCCAAGTGTATGGTGTGTATAACGTTTATGGGAATTTTACTGAAAAATGAATAAAACTATAAGGTTAACAAGCCTAATGTGCAATTATTACCTGAATTATGCTGAAATTAATACCAGTCATATTTCAATAACTAGATGTGCTAGAAGAAAACATAAAACAGATTTGGAATCAGCATGCAAAAAGTGTTCAAATCTTTGATAAGAGAAAAACGTTTGATTTTGTCGACCAGTGTTATTTGAATAACTTATTTTACTTTTCTTTTGTGTTCTCAGGAAATTATATTACAGCTGATGAATTGTCATTATGGAATTGAGTAAAAAACAAAAACAATTGTACGTTTAACAAATGCACAATTGTCTTTGCTTTTTTCTCAATTCTGTTATTACATAGTTTCACCAAGTACTGATGGTTTCAAGTATCAGTTTCATTAATCTATCAATGCAACACATTCCCAAAATCGTTAACTACAAATAATTTGTTGCACAAACTGTTTGGGATTAGCAAGTGTTGCATGACCTATTTCTTACAAAGATATTCAAGTTTTGCTACCAGCTGGAAACATTAAAATAGTATTTTTACCATCCATCATTAGTTACTTGTTTTGATATTTAGTAAATATTTAAACAATACATAGAATTGCTTTATCGTAAACAACCAGAAAGAAATCTTTTGTATAATGTTTTAAAGTTCCAAGTTAGGTATGTAAATTGTATTTCAAAATATAACTTTAGAAACTTTCATTTACATTAGAAATCTTATAACATGTAGACAAAAAAGATGCATTTCACATACTTTAGTTACAATCTGTTAGCTTTAACCAGTAAAACCAAAACTAAGATACATATAACAGACCAAAAGCTATCAGGAAAATGCAAATGTAAACTATGCATTACACATATATATATACTTTACATATACCAGTTATATAAATTATAAACCATGAAATATCCAACATATTAGAGCTTGATAAACAAAAAATCATCAAGATTTTTTTAAACATCATATTTTGAACTATATTTTCTTTAAGTGTTTTTCTTGGTCTTTCTTTTTTTTTAAGTCAAGTTACTAAGCTTCAAGACTATCTAGATTTTCTCTAAGCTAGTTTTTTATTTTTTACAAAATGTTTTATTTCTCTATTAATCTATTATGAAACAAACTTATAAAGAGACTTGAAACAAAGTTATTTAGAAATTGAACTTAAATATCAGTAAGTACTTACCTAAGCAGCTTATAGAATGAAAAACGAAATATCTCCTGAAAAATTACAGAAAACACCAGTCCAAAAGCAAGTGTCTTTCTCAGAGGAACAACAACATACCACAGTATGGATGACAGTAACAAGGACAAAAGCCAAAAAAATGCCCTGAATAATAAAAAAAGGGAGAAAATTTATCAAAATACTTTAACTAAGATCTATATATACATGCAAGTAGACCTGTAGAAAGAATGATCAATTAGGATAGTTTGTAATTTTTTATGTTAGTTAATACTAACACAGTTGTATATATTATTGTATATACTGTTTTCATGATGAAGAATAACAAATCACCACTAAAAAATACAAAACCAACAGTCAGTTATGTGCCCACAAAGATTAACTTAGTTAATGAAAAGTAGACTGACAAAGAAAAACAAGGTTGAGAATCTGAGTACTGAATTTCAACTAAATCCAGTAAAGAAGGATAAATAACTATTACACAATTTTGTTTAAAAAGGAAACACCTTGTTCAAACCTAGAATATTAAAATGACTAATCAGAGGTGTACTTACAAAAGTTAAAAATTTGAAAAAAAAAATTGGTTGAAATGTGTATTTTTTTCTGAACATCTTAAACTTTTTTAAATACTTCTTATCCATCATATCTCCAGTGTATATTAAAACAAATTTGCAATGTTTAAAAAAATAGTGTATATATATATATATACATAAAAAGTTCAATAATACCAAAAATGTTTATTTTACTTTCTTTCTTAAGTGCCACAGATCAGTGGTTCCCAGTTGCTGGTCTGCAGAAACATCCAGTGGAAAAGAAAAAGAAATAAAAAACGTCTGATGAAAGATTTAACTATCATTAAATTTATAACTTGTACATGTGTTAGACGTGCATGAAAACTTTTTCTTTTTTGTAGTTCGTTGTTAAATAAAATGGCCCCATAACTCTCACTTCAAACTTTCTTGAACAAGCTAAATTAGCAAACAACCCTGTGGGCTTATATAATCCCAGTGGTCTATAAGCATTTTACAAAGATTTTATTGGTCCTTGTAGGAACCACTGCCACAGGTGATTTTGATAGGCTGAATCACTTCAGTCACTTATGTTCTGAATTCATTTGTGGTTAAGTTGTTTGTCTGTTGACTTATTACAAAATAATTTACTGTCATTGATTTAGAAAAAAAGATAAATGGATATTGTGAATGCTTGAGGATAATTAAAGATTGACTCAGAAGTTGTCAGTGAAAAATCATGTTCCAGATGTGTGTTATTACTGGTTCATTCTTCTGACAATGGCCTATATTGGTACTAGAAATTACGTTAAACATATCTTCATGAACACATGGCTGCCAACAAGATGGGATTTTTCTCTGCCCATGATTTTAAAGGAATTGTAAATTTTGTTTTACATCAAAGTCATCTTGTGTAAAAGAGACAAGTCTTAACTTGAAGATAATGAATAAATCATGTAACTTACAAAACTTAAGTTTAAATAACAATACAGTGTCGTGAAGAAAAGGGATCTTGGTGTAATAATTGACCAGTTTCTAAAGCCATCCAAGCAATGTGCTGTTGCTAGTGGTAGGGCAAATAGGATTTTAGGTTGTATCTACAGAAATATTGAATACAAGTCTAAAGAGGTTATAATTCTATTGTACAGGTTACTGGTTAGGCCACATTTGGAATATTGTGTCCAGTCTTGGGCTCCTTACTTCAAGAAAGACATTGAATTGTTGGCAAAAGTTCAGAGGATGGTTACTAGAATGGTGCCTGGGATGGAGGGGTTGTCATATGAGGAGAGGTTGAAATCTCTCAAATTGTTTTCTCTTGAAAAAAGAAGAGTTAGAGGGAATTGATAGTGTTGATGCATCATCTTTTTTTCATATTTAACAGTGAGAATGGTAGAACTAAGAGACACAAATACAAATTTTGGCAAGGTAGGAGACATCTTCATCTAAGACAGTTTGATTTTTCTAACAGGGTGGTTGGCCTCTGGAATAATTGCTTTCAGACGTTGTAGAGGCAGGAAATTTGAGTTTAAGAAAACGTTTGATAAGTATATGAATGATAAGGGCTGGCTTTAACATTTTTTAGAAATTATTTTAGATTAGTTTAGAAGATGGAACAAAATGTTATGTTACTATAGTGTTATATGATATAAAACATAAATGTGAGATTAAAAATACCCTACCCACAGTCATAAGTTAAAAGAGAGTTTGATGAACTCATATGTGTGTGTGTGTGTGTGTGTGTGTAGATACACAAGTTTATCAGATGGCTTCTGTAATATGACACTCAGAGGGTACTGTATTATCTTTCCTACCATCTATTTTACTCTTTGCCAAATCAAAGAGGATTCACAACTGATAATACTTTGTGGAATTAGCAAAAAATGAGAAATGGAAAACGTTAAATGACAGGCTTAATTTTCATAGAGGTGGAGCAGATAAACTGAATTACATAAGCAAGATCCCCAAGAAATCTTAAATAAAGCTGATATTACTGACAAAAGAATAACAGAACAAATTGGAGAAAACCTGAACATTAGACAGTATTAAGAAACAACTATTAGATGTGAGGTTTTCACTAGAAGAATGAAACTGCCTTATCCTGGATGATAAAGGAATAATGAGAAATTTATAAGTTCTTAAAACATGTTGGTTGTTATTCAGCTCCACTTCAATAGAGCAACTTATTCACCAGTACACACAAACATCACCAGAAAAACAGAAATTAAATAAAGTGTAAAAATGAGATATGTACATATATATTTGTGGAGTATGTAATCAATTACTTTGAAAATTGGTCATTTTTTTGTCTTAACCAGGTCCTTGGTTAATATTTTGATAATTGATTATAACAAACAAATGAAGCAAATTTAACCTTTATGATCTATTGAATCCTGAAGAATTTCTGACATCAGAAACAAAACTACACATTGAAAATTCAATTTATTCTCTCCCTCGTATAAATTATACAAGATGTCATGGGCACACTTTTCCATCATACTTGTGAGCACCTGCAAGTTAGCATATTAATGAAGTTCATATTATCATGGTGTCAGAGGCTAAATCCTACGTCAGTAAAAACTAAAATAATTAAAAAAAAAAACATTCAATGACATTAATCAAACTCATTAGTTACATAGGACTGTTTAATTTATGGTTACACTGTTACAGATAATCAATAATCGCTTGGTTGTACGTAACCAAACATTAACTTATAACCAATTCCCAACATTAATATATAAACTTGAGTTTTCATGGGAAACTTCAAAACACTTTCTTCAATTCAATTATTTGCCAATCTCAACTTGCTTGTGTCTAAA